AGATGAAAGTCCCCACAACTATTTAAAACACAAAGAAACTTATTCTCAAAATCCTATGGAATAACGTTGTTTCACAGGACAAACAGTTCTCATGAAATTCCAAACCCAGTTCAGTGCCTCAGATGTTCAGATTGCCAGTAACTTCTGAACGTTTTTAAAGACGTGTCCATCCTCAGTGCAAACACCTCACACTTCTGAACGTTAGACACTTCCTCATCTGTACAAAGGACATATTTAGAAGCTAGCTTTAGTTGTTAACTAAGAAAATACCCTGCTCTGAAGTCTCCCAGTGCCAAGAGGGTAACGACACAGCTGGAGATCTTAGCAATTCATATTCCTAAGGCTCTGAATATTTAATTAATTGACTGACCCATCTTTTTTTTTTTTTTTTTTTTTTTTTTGTTAAGAGGGAGCAGAGGCAATGCCTGCCACACTCACCTGCAGTGTCCCTTCTAAACACTTTACAGAATGGCTATGATGTAGATTCAGGCGAAAGCCACTTTCCTGTTGGTTAGTTTCAAGGTTCTATGGCAACAGTTGACAATTAGAGATGAACCCTGGTGGGAAACAATGAGGGATAAATCATAGCACAGACAAATCCCTCACCTGTGATGTGTTGGCAGAGGAATTACTATTTGCTTGCTGTTGATGAATTTGTGCAAGCTGCTGTTTCTGCATTAGTGCCAGTTGTTGTTGATGTTGCTGGTATTGTTCGGCTGTAAATGCTGAACAAAATATAAAACGAGAAAATACTATATCAAAATATGTAGGAGTTGTGTATATAAACACATCTATGTTATAGTCCTTCATACATAAATACACCCCAGCAAGTTCCTAAGAGCCCTAACGCACCTTTATGGCAGAAAGGCCATCATCCTTCAGAAGGTTCTTCCGAACTAAGCTTCCCTTTGAGCTGTTTGTTTAAAGCATACAGCCTTGCACTGCTCTGCTGTATTTAGCTCCAGACAGCAAAAGCAGGAGAAGGAAGGAACCCAAAATACAACCAAAACCACACAGAACTCAAATATTAAGCTAAAATTTCACAGGTAGAAATGCAATAAACTGCCACCTTCCATTAAACTAAACTATCTACATTAATAGTAAGGCATGTTTCTATGTAAGAAGGGGGAAAATGTACATAAGGCTATATTTTCAGCCCCCACAGATGCCTGCTTAAAGGGAGCAAGTCAGAAATGTTTTGGTTTTAAGTTTAGCTGAAGACTCTACACTGGCCCAGATTATAACCCCACTACAATTCACATTTTCCTCTAAGATCTTGAAGGACGACCCAGAATTCAGCACAACAAATCACCACCTTTTAACCAGCCAGTCCCCATAAAAGCTATTTCTAGGAACAGCATTGTTAGTACACACTTAGAGGGGATGCCCAATGAAGTCACAAGTGTCATTAGTGTATTGATTAGCTTCATGAAGCGTTAAGAAATTTTGTTTAGGAACTGTGAATTGAGAATAACAAAAGAACACCTGCTTTCAGTTTCAAAGCAAGTCAAATCTGGAATTGAACTCTCCTTTACAAATTCAGCTAATGACACACGTTCAAGATTTCCCTTCAATTTTATCTCTGGATTACAGAGATGCTCCCCACTAAGTGCTACGAGCAGCACTCCCACTCCTAGAATGCATGAGAACTTGTACTTTCAGGAGAGCTCACTACTGTATGGCAACAAACCCCACCACATCTTGTTCACAAGCTGCAATTGCTGCCTGCTCATCTACTCTTTCAGGTCTGCTCACCTTCAGAAAACCTGTTTCTATCAAAACAAAACCATCTCCTGCTTCCAGATACAGGAGCAGAAGTTGTAGCCTACATACAAACCTGAACAACAGGTCAAGAAAAACTGCTAAGAATTGATATCTGAAAACAGACTGCCAAACATGCTTTTCTCCAGCATACTTGTGATTTTGTACAACAAGCTGTACAACACTGTTCCAAATGCCCTTTTTTATGCCCTTGTACTTTAGAGCATCTGCACTTGAAATTCTGAATCCTTATTCAGCTTTTACATTCAGGTGACTACTCCATATTTCAGTAAGGTTCTTCAGCAAGCAGGAATGAAGCACGCTTGTACTGCCTGAAGTGATTCCAGTCAATTCCCCCTACTCCCAGCCACATCTCCTTTTGGCTGCCTTCACTTCTTCACCTTCTGAAGTCACGTTTAGGGGACAGCTTAGCATTAACATCCCTTACCAATTTCCTTATGAAAGGAAGTACCCTGGAATTCACAAACTCAGTATTTGGAGTTGGCTGTTCACAATTAAGTTCTACTGTACATAAAGAAAACCACCACCTGCTAACAGGCTTTTTTTTAATTATCAGGAAACAGAAATTAGAGCAGGAAGCTTTACCACAAAGATCAGCATGGTGAAAGCTAAAGCAGCAGCAGCAGGGGCAGGAACACAGACATGCTGTTTTGATATGGACAGATCATTCGTATTTATCAGTTTGTGGAAACTTAATGCTTTAATAGCCCTACAAGTCCACAAGTGTAGGGTTCATCTGACAACACTCCTGCTACTGAAGGCTCCATGTATTTTACCCCACAGCACGACTGTGCAAACACTACTTAGAAAGTCTGAGTAAGCTTAACTCTCCAACCGGCAAAGAGGAAAATGGAGAAAAAAAAAAAAGGTTCATTTCATCTTTGAATTCAATATTTGCACACACACAAGTGAGATGGATGCTACAGTGACACTTGGGAACTGCCAGTTCCAGGTTTCATGCTTTAGGTGCGTTTCAGACTACAGCTTACAGCCTGCTCCAAACACTCCTTTATTTTGGAAGAAACACAAGAAATGAAGTTCTCCGAGATAAGCTATGTTTGTTTACAACAGCAGTTATTTAGTGCTTAAGTGCTTCTTCAAATTGCTCCCAAAGTGACCTTTCTAAGGCCTGTACTGTGCATCACTGCACTTTGCTAAGCAGCCCACCATCCTGCTGGCTCTTCCCTTCTGCCACACAGAGCAGCTACCCAGGTGTGCAAGTGACCCCACTACAACTGCCACATCCTCATCTGCATCCAACTGCTTCTCTCACTTCTGCTTAAATACCCAGCCCCATAAAGGGCAGCCTGAGGACGCAGTGGAACACCTGTCTGTCATCCCTGACAGCACACCCAGGGGCAATGCTGCATTTTTACAAAGTTAGGACATCCAGCAATGCTTTCTGTGCCGCTGGCACTGAAGGCAAAAACTCACTAAGGCTTTTCATTCACAGCTCTATCAGAGGTTCACCGGGACATTCTGACACATCACCCCAACAGTTTTACCACCTACTGTGCGGACATCACTGAGAACCCAAACCAGATCATTACTTCTGGAGTAGGACAGTACTACAAGCCAGGACAGTGAATTTTACCTTTTTCTGCTAACTCACTACCACTCTTACGAGGTTTCTTCCACTCCTGCTCTTGGTGTACAGTCTGTATTAAGCACTCCAGTTCAAATATAATGTTAACGATGGCAAGGCTTTGTTTCTGAGAACTAGCATTCTCATACAGAAAAATGCTCACACGTACTTCATGTCTAAGTACATCCACCACTTCCCCCTTCCAGATTTGTTTTCTGTAGCACACAGTTGTGGCTGGAATTCAGAAAGGCATTCAGCGAGATCCCCAACACAGCAGTGCGATGGAACCAGGGCTGAGCTGACCATGTGTGCCTACAGGCATAACCCTGAACTCCCCCAGAGTCCTCCACAGGGTTCAGGTGCCCTTTTTTTAAAAGCAATTAAAGTAGAATGCACTGCAGGCCAGAAAAACACAGCTGCTCATTATATGTTGATTGTATTTACTGTACAGAACATTTACTTCTTGCCTGCAAATAGCACAGATCTATTTGCCCAGGTGCCAGACTTGGTATCTGGTTCAGCATCACTATTTCTAGAAGAATGAGTAATTAAAAGTACAGCCTCTTAAGCACTTTTTCCTAGAATTTTATTATCAATTCTCATCTTTCTTCTGTAGGAGAGCCAGGGCACAACTGAAAACCTTTCACTCCTGTCAAAGAATATTGGTGAACAGCAGTAAGTAGACTGAATGTCATTTTCATTTGAAATCCTATGTTGGTCTTTATCTGTCTGCAAAAGGAAAAACAAAGTAGCAGGCAAATAGAGAGCCCACTCCTTCTCTCCACACATCAATTACCAGCCATGCCTCTGCTTACTCAGAGAAGTACTGCTATACAGTTACACGTTCCTGATATTATTTGACACCCCCAGCACTTCAGAAAATTAGTAGAGAGACAGCCAGCTGAACAACAGCAACTGCTGCAATTAAGAGCTTCAAGTAAAAAAGGAACTGAAACATAACATTTGATATTTAAAGATGACAAATTAGAGACTTAAATTATTACTTCAGCAGCCCTAGACAGGAACACAGCATTTACAGAGTCTTCTCACACAGCATTCTGGGGCCACAATATTCATATTTAGGGCATTTTTAGACTGTTTAATACTACAGAATTTATCAAAATAGAGAAAAATGAAACAGTTTCATTCCCTACACAGAATCCAACCAAATCTCAACCAGCAGTGCAGCTAAGAACATTATCAGTTCCTGAAACCTGAACTGTCACAGCTAACAACTGCCCACTCTCCAAGACACCTGGAGTCACTTGCACAAGGAGAGCTGCCCAACTCCTTCCCCAGCCTTCAATTTTGGGAGCCTTTAAGGCACAGCCCCACGCAGAGCAGCACCCAGCTGTGATGGCTGCCAGGAGGCGGCAGCTCCAGTTCTACTCCGAGACAAGGCCACAGGAATGGCTCTCACCCACCTGCCAGCAGCACAGCGTTTGCAACAGGCATCAAATCTCAGTACACTTCTGAGCTGACAGCTGCCAGGATTTTAAGTCACTGCAACACATTACGCTGTTACCTTCTTCATTTAACCGCTCGACACAACGTACACACCTGTTCTACAACAGGGTGAGTGCAACACTTCAGCAACAAACAGAAAATGTATTCTAGTTTACAGATTACTGAAAGGGATCAAAAGAGCACTGAGTCACTTTGGGAATTTCTAGACAGGAACACAAGGAAAGAAATATTACAGTTACTGAGCCTGACTGAACAAATAAATGACTGCTTACAGATTTATTTAATGTCTTCTGAGCAACAGTTACAAACCCTGTCAGTAACTCCAATTTTTCACAGCACACCACTCAATGCTCACTAGCAGTATGTTCTTCTTACCATCATTTAAGTGACTGAGATGCATACTATCTTTCTGGTATGTAATTACAGAGCAATTTCTTTCTCAAATTAAGCCACTGAATATCTTTGCATTGCACAATTCCTTAACATCTCTCCCAAATGCAATGGGATGCTGGTACTCAAGGAGCCCTGTCCTCAAAGCACAGATTCACAGAGATGCTGTCAGCAGTTTCGTACTGCAGCACACAACTACTATCACAATGTTACCCACTTTTACAACAGCACTTAGTGTGCACCAGCTCAAAACCACAGCCTGTGTTTCATTCCTCTGAAATTGCCAGTCCTTCCCAGAAGTGGCTGAAGCCATTTAGGATGGCTCACTGCAGCATCCACGTAAGGAAGAAATCCCAAAGAACTGCCTTGGCTTTCTAACAGCCACAGCCCCACTCCTGACCGCTCCTGCAGTGTTACTGTGAGGTGCTCTGCTTGCTGTTACTCTGCTTCCCTGATGCAGTACCAGAAAATGTATCCTGGAGAGCAGGAGTACATACAAGT